ATCCCACTGCTTATGAAGAGATCATTGTTGATGAACCGAATGAACCCATAGTAGAAGAACCACAACAAATAGCATTAAGAAGATCTCAAAGAGAAAGGAGACCTGCTATTTCTAATGATTATGTGGTATATCTACAAGAGTCTGAATTTGACATGGGTATTCAGGATGATCCAGTAACGTTTTCACAAGCCATGAATGGAGAAAATGGTGATAAATGGTTAGATGCTATGAAAGATGAGTTGAAATCTATGGAACAGAATAAGGTCTGGGATCTTGTTGAGTTACCAGAAGGGTGCAAGAGAGTTGGTTGTAAATGGGTCTTTAAGACCAAACGTGACTCTCATGGTAACTTGGAACGTTACAAGGCCAGACTAGTTGCAAAGGGATTCACTCAGAAAGATGGCATTGACTATAAAGAAACTTTTTCACCAGTTTCAAAGAAGGATTCTTTAAGAATTATTATGGCATTGGTGGCTCATTATGATCTAGAGTTACACCAAATGGATGTGAAAACTGCCTTTCTAAATGGAAATTTAGATGAAGATGTGTACATGGACCAACCAATGGGGTTCATAAAAAAGGGTAAAGAGCACATGGTGTGCAAACTTAAGAAGTCAATATACGGACTTAAACAAGCTTCACGGCAATGGTACCTTAAGTTCAATGATACCGTTGTTTCCTTTGGATTTAAAGAAAACATTGTTGATCGATGTATATATCTGAAGATCAGTGGGAGCAAGTTTATCTTATTGATTCTGTATGTTGATGATATTTTGCTGGCAACTAACGATCTTGGTCTTTTAAATGAGACTAAGAAGTTTCTCTCTAGTAACTTCGAAATGAAAGATATGGGTGAGGCAGCTTATGTGATAGGAATAGAAATATTCCGTGATAGATCACAAGGACTGTTAGGTTTGTCTCAGAAAGCATATATTAATAGAGTTCTAGAGAGATTCAGAATGGAAAACTGCTCATCATCTCCAGTTCCAATTCAGAAAGGAGATAAGTTTAGCCTCATGCAATGTCCTAAAAGTGAATTGGAACGAAAAGAAATGGAGGCAATTCCGTATGCATCATTAGTTGGGAGTTTAATGTATGCTCAGACTTGTACGAGACCAGATATTAGCTTTGCAGTTGGGATGTTGGGTAGATACCAAAGTAATCCCGATATGGATCACTGGAAAGCTGCAAAGAAAGTTCTGAGATATTTGCAAGGAACTAAAGGTCACATGCTTACTTATAGAAGGTCTAGCAACCTTGAAGTGATTGGATACACAGATTCAGATTTTGCAGGATGCGTAGACACAAGAAAGTCTACATGTGTGGTTACCTGTATCTTTTAGCTGAAGGAGCTATATCATGGAAAAGTGCGAAGCAGACTGTAATAGCTGCGTCCACTATGGAAGCTGAATTTGTGGCATGCTTTGAAGCCACGATTCAGGCTAAATGGCTACGGAACTTTATTTCAGGGCTTGGATTGGTCGACAATATTGAAAAGCCGCTGAAAATTTATTGTGATAATTCCGCAGCTGTCTTCTTTTCTAAAAACGACAAATATTCCAAAGGTGCTAAACATATGGAATTAAAGTACTTTGTCGTTAAAGAAGAGGTTCAGAAACAAAGAGTGTCTATAAAGCATATTAGCACCGATCTTATGATAGCTGATCCCTTGACGAAGGGATTACCGCCCAAGACATTTACTGGTCATGTATGTAGAATGGGCATTATGTCAGCTAATGAATGATGATAATTATTGTTATGTATTAAAGTATTGACACTCTGAGCTCATTGATGAATATATGTTTCTGATATTGTCTTGTTTTCAATTTATGTATGCATGCAAGTATATGTGATGATATTGAAAATATTTGTGGTCCGTTATGAAGACATCATTGTTGGACATAATGTGTACTTCCTATTAAAGTATCATGTTAGGAAGAAGAGTCAATATAGTAGTACATGGAAGGGACTATGCCGACTTGATAGCATACAACCGCCATGACTCTTGTTGATTTTATTTCTAATAATGAATTATGATGAAGTCAATGTATGGAACCTTTAGCCTAATAAATGCGCATTATAATGAATGTTGATTAAATCATGAAGGGACACCTCATCACATGAGCCAAGTGGGAGAATGTAAAACTATTTGTCTCAGGTGTAATATTATGTGTCAGTTGATTTAATTAATAAAAGGGGCATAACGGTAATTGACGGTTTAAGGGAGTTGGGAAGTTATTTATGAATAAATAACTGGTGACAGGTTCAGTTATTATAAGAGTTTTTGGTAGTTTTCTGAGAACAGTATCTTCAGAGAAACTCTCCTTCATTGTCTGCCCATCATAGTTGTATCCAATCATTGTCAAAGAAGATACAAGTAGAGAAAAGGGTCAAAACTCTGAGAAAGTCATTCCACCATCAAAGTTCTTCCGCACTAATGGAGAAAGGTACACCCTTATGTGAAAACCATGAATTCTAAAGATCTTGTAAATGCATATATATATCAAAACATCTTTCTAGGGATCGCGAGTTGCACCAGGTTGTTCTCTTATGCAACAAAGACAATATCACGTTGGCCCCACTTTTTAAAAAAGATAAAAAAGGAATGACACAAGATTCCATAGGTGTATTAGAAACAATGTTATAAAAACTGACCCGACCCGGTCGGGTCGGTTTCGAAATCGGTGAATCGGTAATGTAACCGGTCCGATTTTTATATTGGATCGACATGTTACAAAATCGGTATGATCTCGTGCGACCCGACCGATTTTCCTAAAAATCGGTGACCCGATCGATTCAACCGGTGATTCGGTCCGGTCTACAAAAAAAATTAATTTATTTTCATAAATTAATATCTTCTTTTTTTTACACTCAAACACAAATGATTTGTTTTCTTTTGAAATATTTGAGTGATTTGTAGCGTATTAACTTACATAGATTATGTACCTACAACACTAATATTATATTGATTATGCAATATGGAGGGAATTTTGATTTGATTTATAGTTAGAGACGTCGTTTACTGAACTTGAAACACTAGTATCACAAATATTATATGTTTGATTTATCTTTTGTTGGACAATGATGTGTAATTTATTACTTTCATGTTAAAATATTTGAAATTGGTATATTTTTTTAAAAGTATTTAAGTATATTTATAGTTTTTTTAATAGAAATTGTAGATTTACATATACTTATCGGGTCATGCGGTTGAACCAGTGACCCAATGACCCAGTATTTCAATCGAATCAATAATCGGGCCGAGTTTAATAACATTGATTAGAAAGAATATGTTCCTTCAACGACAATAAGAGAGACCATCTTTTTATTTAAAATAATACAAAGATACAAAATTGTGTATTTTAAAAATGAGAAACACTACTTTTTTTTGGAGGTAATGGATATAATTCAGTTGACAACACAAGAGTTCACTTCCCATCAAATATATTTTTGACAAGAAGTGAAAAAAAAATTAGAAATGATTTTCAATAATAGAAAAAATATTTGCCATTTTAAAGTATACTAATGCCATTTTACTTTCTTTCCCCTCCTAATTTGTGGATGAGAAAAAATATACTAAAACACAATAATTTCATTTAAAATGACACAAATTTATAACTTTAAAATAACAAATATTTTCCTACATAAATATTATAAGAGAAAATCACAGTTTTTTTGAAAAAAAAAATTAATGATTCCAAGTCTTTTATTTCCGTGGCAAACAATTTATTTTCTGTCGTTGCTGCAGAAATATATAACTCGTATTATAAATCAGAAAAATATTTCTACAGTTGTGCATTTACTCTCAAAATAATGTCGTTTTAGAATTGAAATATTAAAAAATTATAATTATAAAGACTATAATATCCCTGAAATAAATTAAAATTACAAATATACAATGATTTTCGCCCCAAAATAATGTCATATTGAGCTTACTGCAGATAACTTATCTGCAGTAACTGCAAAAAAAAAAAAAAGCAAACCCATTATAAATAGGCTTTAATATTTCTATAACGTAGATAAATTATGAGTTATACATGTATAATGTTACGTGCAAAATACTGTACGATCCTCCGGAGACATAAAAGAAGAGAGAGAAGTGAGTTGAGAAAATAGAAAAGAAGAAACTTTGGACCTCACGTCTTTTTGTTTGTGCAAGAAAACAAGTTTTATTCCTGATAGATAATGAGGAAGGATATTATGACAACCAAGTTGTGTTACTACCAAGTGACTACCAATCAATCTTACTATTAGATCGATTATATTGATCTAACGGTTATATTTATTTCCATCTTTGTATGGTTATGATTCCTCAAATTTAATACTTTATATTTATTTTCACCTTTATATGGTTATGATTTCTCATATTTAATGCTTTCACTTTAAATATGGGAAATCATGACCATACAAAGATGGAAATAAATATAACCGTTGGATCAACATAATCGATCTAACGGTGAGATTGATTGGTAGTCACTTGGTAGTAACACAACTTGGTTGTCACAATATCCTTCCCCATAGATAATAGATACATTTCCTATAAATTATCTACATCTACTCCCAATATGACGTTATTTTATGTTGAAAGATTAAAAAATTATAATGAAAAAAATTATTATTATCCTGAAATAAATTATAAATACAAAAATATCATAATTTTTGCCCCAAAACGATATCATTTTAAGCTCAATGTAAATAATTTATATGCATTCATTCATTGCAAAAAAGCAAACCATTGTAAATAGAGGGAGGATATTCTTACTATCAAAATTTTCCATTACCAACTTACTACCTATCTAATCACCATTGAATAAAACAGAGAGAATGCTAAAAAAAATTTGAAAAAAGAGAAAATATTATTTCCGTGATTAAATAGATAATGAGTTGATAATAATTTTTTTTTCTGATAATAATAATATCCATGCTATTGTAAATATTATCTGCATCTTCTAAAGAGGAAAAAAGAACCATTTTAGTAATAATTAACAGTCGCAGAGAAAATCAAGAAGAAACAACCTAAGACGATGATTGAACAGATAAAACATAATGCAAAAGACCGTAAACTAGGAACTTATTGTTACAGTCTCCAATATAGGAACTAGTAACTAGGAACTTACTTTCCCGCCAAACCAACGAACCAATCGCCATGGTCGTCACCACCCAACGAAGGAGCTGCTGCACCTTCTCTCTCTCTCTTCTCCTTCTATTCATCGCCGTCTTCCAAACCCTAAACCCAAATCCCTCGCCGCCACCTCACCACCATGGCAACTACATCGTGGGGTTCTCGGAGTACAAGAGCGCCGAGCACCACCGCGCCTATCTGGAATCCAGCCTCGGATCAAAAGGGTGGTGGTGGATTGACCGGCGGAACCCGGCGGCGAAGTACCCCACCGATTTTGGATTGGTTTCCGTTGAGGATTTGGGGTTGATTGAGGTGATTCGGAAACTGGGTTTGGTGAAGTACGTGAGTTTGGATATGAGTTATAAGAGGGGTTTGATGAAGCATCATGAGAGGGATAAGAAAGTTGGTGCCTTTGTGGATGGGAAGAAGCGCCCCGGGAAAATCTTCACGACGATGTCGTTTTGTGAGGCAGAAGAAGGAGAAGAAGAAGAAGAAGATATTCGCAACAATTCAATCAAGTTGGGGCGACAACTGATGATGCAGGTGAATTTTTTTTGTTTTCTGATATTGGGTATCATGGGGAAACAAAAAAGATTAGAACTTTGATTTGGTAACTTTGATCATTATTATTGTTGTTTTGTCTTGGTTGAGTTAAATTTGGATGTTTTTGACCACCAAACGCGTGAATCAACTAATAAGTGGTTTTTCCATCTTAAACATTGATCTTGAGTTCGAGTCTCTCGTAACACAATTGTGTTAAAACTTGATAGGGGTAGTTATGTCGCCCATGTGGTCCTATTGGCTCAAATCGTACTAATTCAGTAATCGATGAACCAATGGATAATATACAAAAAAAATTTGGGGTGTGTTTGAATTTGTTTATTATTGAAAGTGTGCATCCTTTGAGGTGTTTGTAACTGTAGCAGAGATCGCAAGTTACTTCCATGTTTGGAGCGGAAGATCTTTGGAGGAAAGGGTACACTGGTGCGAAGGTCAAGATGGCCATATTTGATACTGGCATTCGAGCTGATCATCCTCATTTCCGTAATATCAAGGTAATGCTTTTTTGCTTGATTTGAAAATGTTTTATTTTATTTTACTTTTTTGTTGGTGGATGAATTGAGTGTTGAGGAACTTTACAGGAGCGTACAAATTGGACCAATGAGGATAGATTGAATGACAATCTTGGACATGGGACTTTTGTTGCTGGTGTTATTGCTGGTGTAGATGCGGAGTGCCTTGGTTTTGCACCAGATACAGAGATTTATGCATTTCGTGTTTTCACTGATGCACAGGTAATGGCTGTTGGATATTATTATTATTATTATTAAACTCTCCTCTTTCTTTGGAATGGGGAAGAGGGGATTGAATTAAACTCTTTTAACTGCATGGAAATGGAACTTCAGTTCATCCTATCTTCACAATATCTTCATTCCACAATAAATACATAATGTAATGTTCAGAAATTTATTTATAAAATAGAGTAATCATTAGCAAGCTCTAAATAGGAGACTATAGATGCATCGTTCTAGCTTATTATAAATGTGTATTAAGTTGCATTTTTCCCGTTCTTCTGCTTATATAATATTTATATTCTGTAATAATTGGCAAGATTTTGAGATTTCATTCAGCCTATAGCAGGTGTCATATACATCATGGTTCCTTGATGCCTTCAACTATGCAATCGCAACCAATATGGATGTGCTAAATTTGAGCATAGGTGGACCTGATTATATGGATCTCCCATTTGTTGAAAAGGTAAATTCCTTTTGCTTATCTGTTCCAGCTCACTAATTTGATAGTATTAGGTGTTGTATTTTATTTAGTTTGAGGTGGAAAACTACAAAATGTATTAATTATGAAGATTGTGGATTATTTCTTCAATAACAATAACTGGACATGTTATTTTCTCTACTGTAACCCTTTTATTTGAAGAAGCCATTATTTGTTTTTGGTGGTCATATACGGTAACTATTTCTTTCAGAGTACAGAAGTGTCCTTTTATAGAGCTTTATGATGCTAATTTGTTGACCAGATATGGGAGATAACAGCAAATAACATAATCATGGTTTCTGCAATTGGAAATGATGGACCACTTTATGGAACTTTGAATAATCCCGCAGATCAAAGTGATGTCATTGGAGTTGGTGGCATTGACTATAGTGACCATATAGCCTCCTTTTCCTCACGTGGTATGAGTACCTGGGAGCTTCCTCATGGGTAACTTATTTGTTTCGACAACTTATATTTTATTGGTCCTGCTTCAATTGGCATTAATTGAATATGTCTGTTAGAGAAGTATAAAACCATAATGTAGCCTCACCTATCAGCTTAAGCTTTTGGGTTGAATTGGTTCTCTACATGGTATTAGAGCCTCGGTGTCACGAATTCGATTCTCACCACCCCCCATTTGATCAATAATTAATTATGTCTTGTGGAGTTTCTTAGCATAGGTAGTTGGGTCTGTGCATTATCCTCTCATGTGAGAGGACGCGTTAGAGAAATATAAAACCATTAATGTAGCCTCACCTATTAGCTTAAGCTTTTGGGTTGAATTGGTTCTTTACAATGTCTAACGAGAATTTCTGTTATTTTTTTCTGCATGATATTCTAAAAGACCATGTTGTTTAGGAAGATGCTTTAATTGGATGAATAATGAATATTTGAGTTCAAAACAACTTAATACCCATGTAGTTTGGTCATAAATCATTGCCTTCACTTTCAATTTTGTAGTGATCCTACAGAAAGAAGTGACGAGCCTTCGTGAACCTTCAATAAATGTACAATAGCATGTTGGATATGTAACTGGAATTGTCGATTCTGCAACATTTTAGCATTATCATATTTCTAGCTTTAATTGGTTTTGTCCTTGCCATTTTTTTTATTGGCATACATGTATATTTATGTTTTGCCTTGGAAAAGATTTTTGATTTGATACGTGAGTTACTCTTGTAATCGGTTATTTCTGTAATTCCCTTCATCAAGTTTGGTTTCTTACTCACTGATAACTTTTAAAATTTATATTGACTGCTTTACCTTGCAGTTATGGCCGTGTGAAGCCAGACATAGTTGCATATGGACGGGACATTATGGGTTCAAAGATTAGTGCAGGTTGTAAAAGTTTATCAGGAACCAGTGTTGCAAGTCCTGTAGTTGCTGGTGTTGTATGTTTGCTTGTTAGTGTCATTCCTGAACTTGATCGAAAAAATATCGTAAACCCAGCAAGCATGAAACAAGCATTGGTCGAGGGTGCTGTAGAGCTTGATGGGCCTAACATGTATGAGCAGGGTGCTGGCAGGGCTGATCTATAAGTTCTCCTATTTAGCTCTCCACATTGTTTTGTTTTAAAATATATTTTGTAGGGACATACAGTTTAACATGGCAATAATTGCTGACTTGTCATTACTATTGTACTTGTATTTCATTAGATTCTTAAACTACTCTGCAGGTTCTTGTACTTTTTGGACACGTTTTATATAGGTCCCTATACTTGAAAAACTATAAATGGGACCCTATAGTTTCAAAGTAAAACAAAATTAATTGGCTTCCTGTAGGGACCTAACAATAGACTGGAGCAAGGGACCCATTTATAACTTTTTAATCTATAGAGATTTATTTAAAAATTCCCAAAAATATATATAGGGACTTACTATTTGTTAATGTAATTTTCAGGTTAGAATCATACAAGATTCTTAAGAGCTACAAACCTAGGGCAAGCATCTTTCCCAGTGTTCTTGATTATACAGATTGTCCTTACACATGGCCTTTTTGTCGTCAGCCACTCTATGCAGGTGCCATGCCTGTCATCTTCAATGCCACCATTTTGAATGGAATGGGTGTTATCGGCTACATTGAAAGTCCCCCAACATGGCATCCTTCTAAAGAAGAAGGGAATCTTCTAAGCATTCATTTTACATATTCTGAGATCATCTGGCCTTGGACTGGTTATTTAGCCCTTCACATGCAAATCAAGGAAGAAGGTGCACAGTTTTCTGGGAATATTGAAGGTAATGTGACTCTCAGGATTTCCAGTCCTCCAGCTCAAGGAGAGAAGGACCCTCGAGTTAGCATCTGTGTGCTTCAAATAAAGTTAAAAGTGGTACCAACACCGCCACGAGCAAAACGAGTATTGTGGGATCAGTTTCACAGTATCAAATACCCTCCAGGTTATATTCCCAGAGATTCCTTGGATGTTCGTAATGACATTCTTGACTGGCATGGGGATCATCTGCATACAAATTTTCACATCATGTTCAACATGTTACGAGATGCTGGTTACTATGTTGAAGCTCTCGGTTCACCTCTTACATGCTTTGATGCTCGACAGTATGGAACACTTCTGTTGGTGGATCTTGAGGAAGAGTACTTTGCTGAGGAAATTGAAAAGCTGAGAGACGATGTTATAAATACTGGATTGGGATTAGCTATCTTCGCTGAGTGGTATAATGTAGATTCAATGGTAAAGATGAGATTCTTTGATGACAATACTCGGAGCTGGTGGACCCCAGTCACTGGAGGTGCTAATATTCCTGCACTTAATGATCTTTTGGCTCCATTTGGGATTGCTTTTGGAGATAAGATTCTGAATGGTGATTTTTCACTTTCCGGTGAGCAGAATCGATATGCTTCTGGAACAGATATAGTGAGGTTTCCAAGGGGTGGTTATGTACATAGCTTTCCTTTCTTGGATAGTTCAGAAAGTGGAGCCACTCAGAATAAGCTACTGACTTCTGGCAAAACCAAGGTGTGCAAGGGCATCTTTATATTTCATTAGTTATTATTAGTATTAAAACAAAGATTGAGAAATATAGCCTCTGAAGTAAAAACAATAAAAAGTCATTTTATTCCCGAGCTCATCTATGGTTTTCAACCAACCAAAAGTTATTCGGCATTATAAAGTTGTGATTTATATTGTAGTACACAATCTTCAAAATGATTAATTATCTGGTGACTTTTAAAAAGCATCAAATTTGATTCTCGTTGAGCGCCATTTTTAAACCATAATATCTTAAACATTGAGATTCTTACTAATTATGTAAAAATTATTGTGGTATCTTCTGGTGAAACAGGCAGATTCTCCAATTCTTGGTCTTACAGTGATGGGTGAAGGTCGCATAGCTGTGTATGGGGACTCCAATTGTTTGGACAGCAGCCACATGGTTACTAATTGTTTTAGTCTTCTTAGGAAAATACTAGATTTTACTAGTGAAGATGTTAGAGATCCAGTGCTTTTCTCTGATTCAACTAAACAAAATAATCCCTTGTATGAAGATGATAATCGGTTGCCATCCCGCAGAACTGATGTGAATTTCTCTGCATATTCAGCTGTTATAGGGAAAGAATTGATCTGCAGGACTGACACAAGGTTTGAAATATGGGGAACTATGGGCTTCAATTTACACGTCAGAGGAAGAAACAGAAGATTGCCCGGTTATCCTGTCATTGATTTGGGGAGTGGTTTCAATTCAACCTTTGATGCTTCTTACATTAGGCATCCCAAGTTAACTGTGAGAAATAAGGATGTCTCTCTAGGGAACAGATATTTAGGCCTGTTCTATGGGGATGAGGTAAGAAACAGAAACAACTATTGGGTTGGTTTCTTAGAAATGGAGTTCCCTATATCCTCTTTTTTTTCTGTATGTTTGTTATCAGATGCTGCATATTGCATAAATTCTGAATTCTCTTATACTTCTTGCAGCTTGATGCACCTATATTAGTTGGTAGTCACTGGCTTGTTCCTGTTGTTGTTGCAGCAACTGGTTAGTGAACACTAACTTTGTTATCCAATTTTAGATTAGAATATTAATGTTATTTATGTTTCATGTCTTTTTCACTTCTGGCAGGTATTTTGCTATTGAGTTTTTGGCGAATTCGCCAAAAGAGACGTCGACGAAGGAAAGGATCAAGTTTGTTGGCCAATTTATAGTCCTAGCATTTACACAAATGTAATTGTAAAACTAGCCTCCAAAGATATTCCCCTGTAGTATTAGCATAGTAACAAATTCATGAGTTTTTTTCCATCAGCATCACTGTAGGAATATAGCCAAATAAGTTGCTTTTTTCCTCCCTACAAAGTTGTAAAAGTTCTGCTGTTTCGGATACTTTGAAGTGCACAAATTTTCTGAGAAAGGAAGTCTTATGGTTAGTGGTACAGCAAGGTTTTATGACTTATTGTTATGTAGTTTTCTTTGTTTTTCTTTTCTTTTGGTTTTGGGGAAGGGAAATAAGTATGTATTTGGGTTTTTTTTCTTTCAACTTTTAGACAGAACTTTTTTTTTAAAACACAAGTTTTCTCTCAAAATAAATAAATTAAAACAAGCATAAACTAATTAATTTGTTTAGATTGAACAAATAATTACAGTAAGTATAGGTTAGAGTTGGCAAAACGGGTTAACCCGACTCGATTTAGCTCAATCTGCATGCAACTCGAAAAAAATAAGTCGGGTTAGGATTGACTCGAAAAAACAAAAATGAGCCAGAAAAAATTTAGAGCAGGTCCACAAATGAATGGTCTAAACTCTAAAGTCCTGGCCTGAGTTAAAATACTCTTCGATTTTGTTGATCAGAAGAATAGTAATGACACTAAAATAAGCTCTATGGCTTTGAATCAGCTGCCAATCCTCCATCTTCCTTTTGGACTAGTAGATTATGGCCCAACCATTAGAATGCCAAGCTAATACATTGGTTTGAATATTATTTATTATTATTATTTTGTTTCTTAACTTTTCATGTTAAAGGGGAGGTAGCTAATTACAGAGAGGGACTGACTGCATGAGTTAATGATAAAAACCCTGTTTGAATAATGTTTCTAAAAACAATTTTTTGATTTTGAGAACAAAAAAACAAAAAAATCCGTTTGATAAGGCCTGTTTTGTAAAAAAAGGAAAAAAAATTGTAACTTTTTTTATTTTTAGAATCAAATTTAGAGAACATATATGAATTATTTTTGTTTTGTGTTTTGATTTTTAACTTTCATGATAAAAAAAAAAAACTCAGAAAACACATTTTTATAACTATTTTATAAAACAATTTTAAGAACAAAAAAATCAGAACACAATCAAACAGATTCTAATTTTTTTAATTTTTGCTGCATCCTAAGGTTGTTACAAACTCAAGCTAAATTCTTAGCATGTAACTTTGGGATAACAAATGGACAAAAGTCAAAAGATTAGAACTCAATCTGTAAAATAGTGGCATGGTGGTATTTTTCCAATCCCGATCTGTTGTATTATTTCTCCATCTTTATTTATTCACTTCAACTTTATTCCATACTTAAATGTATAATTTGTCAGCTACAGTAATATAAGCATTTCGGTTGAATTTCTGATCTTAACTCTATATTTTATTGCTGTAGCTTTTATAGATTCACATAGAAGATGGGTGTCATCCTCTAAAAAAAAAATCTTTAGTATTATAACAAAAGGCTGGTTAGATTTACCATCAATTTACACTTATTATCATTCCTATTATTCTTAGGAGGTGTTTGTTTCAAGTTTTTGGAGAGGATTACCGGTAATCCTTCTTTGGTAAATGTAATTACCACGTTTGGTAGAAGGAATAAATTACGATTCCCGGATATCCAAGGATTACCGGTAATTTGATTTATAAAGAAAAGTCACTATTCAGATTATCAAAAATAATATGGTAATTCGGAATACCAATCAGAATACCAAGTAAAGGGAAAGCACAACAATAAATTTTGAGACAAAAATACCTCAATATACATAAAAATCTAGACCAAATCTATCAATTACAAAAGTAAAAATAGTTTGGGGTTATTTTTGTAAAATAACTTCATATTCCAAGTCATATTTCGTTCTAAACCAAATATGGAATCAGTAATTTTTATCCCATATTCCCGGTAATATTTTGGCGAACCAAACACCTCTTTCGTAAGATTTCAAGTAAACTCAATTTCTACTGTATTTCCATTAATCATGATTCTCGGTCACCAAAAAATTTCTCTTGTACCAAACACACCCTTAGATCAAGAAGAAGTGAGTGAGAGGTTATAGGTGTTGACTTCAAATTTGATCTTACCGTAATAGAGATAATAATAAAAGACAGTAAGCATAAGCTGATAATGAATATAACCCACCTCTTATTTTTATTTTAAAAAATCAGGAACTAAATAATCAGTCAATCAAGGCAGTTATTTTTGAATTGAGTAACCACTAAGTGATTTTTTTTTTTTTTTATAATTATAGGTATATAAAAATCTCCAAAATAAACTTTCTTCAAGACTATGTTCCAATGTCCATGTGCACTCAAGACTTTTTCTTTTCTTTTATTCATATTATTTTGCTGTGAATGCGCACGCTGACTTTACAGAAGGCGTGTGGGGTTTTTGGGGGCGCGCAGATCACACCACCACGTTCTCAAAGGTGAGAGAGAGAGAGATGGTGGCCACTCTCCCCATTCACCAAACGGTATTATCAACTTGTTTGTAGCTGTCTCTTTTTAATGATTCAAAGCATGTGACAAATATCCTATGTTACTGAATATATGTTGCAGCTTTCTCATTATCTGGCATGCATCAATCTTACAAGCCACATGTACTAATCAACACAATATTATATATTGTTTTTTAACATAACCCCTTACCCAAAAACTATTTAGGCTTGAAATATGAATATTACACAAATCCAATTTTTTATTTTATTACAAAATAAAGACGATGAAAATCAAACTCATGACTACTTAATCATGTCATCACTAATATCATATAAAGAATTAATTCAACTTAAAAACTTAAACCTTTTAATGATTTATATTATTTTTTAATGTTCAAAAACACATGATATGTAGAGTTAAGCAGATTGACACAAGATAGTGAAACTTTTTTTTTTTAATCATCTCTTGTTATGCTTTATTTCAAATGCTATCTAAAGTGTATACATTAATTAGCTAGTAACTTGCTTATACATTAATTAGCTAGTAACTTGCTTTTCCTATACAATAGTCCCACTCCCACATAAGCAAACTAGCACGGTTGAACAGCAGACCTTGTCTTCTTTAACAAATCATTTGGGTAAAAAATCATAATCTGTTTTTGAGATTCACGCACAATTAAGTAAAGACATCAGAAAAAGGTTTGATACTAACGCATTAACAAAACCAACCTACTTCCCAACTACAAGCAAATTGACACATGAGCAACTAAGGAAAACAAGGTTTATGCATTCCACTTCCAAAGCTGAATTAGAAAGAGAAAAAAAAAACAAATGAAATGATCGAACTTTGTTATTTTGTTGTATACCCTGATAAATACAATTTAAGAGATGATTATTTGTGAAGAAAAAATAGTAATAATAATAATTGGTAAGTCACTCCAAACATGTCAGTCAAGCAATCAACTGTGGCAAAGGAAACAAATCAAGGATATAAATTTACACAAGATAAAATGTGTCAAGGTTCATCAAGAGCTTCCACTGAAACCTTTACTGTTGTTGTTCTTCATCATTCTCATTTCCATTTCCCGTGTGGTCTGGCGGCTCTGTGCTTCACTGCTTGAACCAGATGGGTTTAAACCGTACTCACTTGTAGCTGCACTGTACTCACTGCTGGCACCATACTCCTGAGTTCCCAGTGCCATTTTTCTGAACTTTTTCATGTCTTCCTTGTATTGTGTTGTATCATAATCTGAGCTTCCATGAGAACTGTAGACAGTGCTGTGTCCAGGTCTGATTCCTTCATTAAGATCAGCTAAAGACACATCTCCTTCCAGAGCACGAACAACCTGCAGTGTATCATTATGAAAGTTGTTAGAGAAATATAAAACCATTAATGTAACATCATTTAACAGCTTAAACTTTTGGGTTGAATTATTTGTTTTACAAAGTATCAGAATCTCAGTGACCAAGTGCTCATGAGTTCGATTCTTAATGTGATATTTAACTAACATCTTAAGCTTTTGGATTGATTTAGTTGCTTTACTAAAGTCAATAGAAAGATTATCTCACATAGCAAGAAGTAGCATGAACTCGAAAATCTATACGTGGGAAATGAGATTCTGCTAGGATTTTAAAGTTGTAGCACAATGAAATTAGCCTGTCATAATCGTTTTATGAACATATTTTCTCCGGCAATCACATCAATTACATTTATACACTTGACATGTAATGGCAAGCTATAGAATTCGTGTGATAATTATAGGGAGATTATGATTCAAGATTCTTTCATTCCAACTATACGAGACAATATAATGCCCTATGCATCAGAGAATCAAATATCAGCTTGGAATACGAGTACTTGACAAATGACAACAAGCTTCTTTACTTTACCTGGCTCATCCTTGGTCGACGCTTTGCTGAATGACGCGTGCTAGCTGCAGCACATGCCACCATACGAAGCATCTCATTAGGATCATATTCATTCTGGAGCCTTGGGTCAATCAGAGAGTCAAAATCATCCTCTTCCAAAGCACGTGTGAGCAAAGGCCTAGCCTGTGATGATAAAGATGGATACAGTTTTAAGAGTTGCTCTATGGCACCTTGTTCTCCTCCAATCAAAAAAAAAGAAACATTGAAACCTCTATATTCTATAAATATATACACATCTATACATTTATAGTTGCATATTATATTTAGGCACTGAAATGAGGACCACCATTAAACTTACCCAGTCCACCAAACTATCCTCCATGAAAGTTTGAGTTTTATCAACTGGCCGCCGTCCAGTTATTAATTCAAGGAGCATGACTCCAAAGGAGAAAACATCTGATTTGTCTGAGAGTTTTCCACTAGAAGCATATTCTGGAGCCAGATACCTGTAAGCAGCAATTGATGCATGACTCATGAGCTTGATATATATACAACGCCAAACAGCAAAATATGATCTGGCTTTCCTTATCAACTGTTGTTGCCAGTAATAACACCATTGATAACTGACAACAATAACACATGGCATAGCGAAAAGGCACAAAATAGTTCATTTTAGTGTTGGAGATGTTGAGCTATGAACAAACAACTTAAACACTTCAACACACAATATGTTCAAAACCACCATATAGCACATTGCATGCCCTTTAGTACATTAATTCAATCTATTAATAACGGATATGAACAAACAACTTTTCATTGTGATATCCAAGGTCCTTGAAGATAAACGGAAGTTTGTTCATACCCAAAAGTCCCCATCACTCGAGTAGAAACATGAGTATTGACATCAGAAGTAAACTTGGCAAGACCAAAATCTGCAACCTGCCAACAGAACACAATTGATACTAAATTAAACTTAGGCATCGCTTGATACTAAACAATTCTGTTACAACTTTATATAACAATTTAAAGGGTGCATCACCACTACCGTAGACACCTTTTGAAGAACTATCAGTGTAAGATAGATTATTCATATTAATTAGACTAAATCGGGTAGATAATGGGCAGTTGTTTCATCTACTTTGGCAAGTACTAATAACTATGACTGGGAGGAAGACACATGACAGAACATACCTTTGCTTCAAACTTAAAATCCAGAAGAATGTTAGCAGCTTTGATATCACGATGGATGATCTTAGGATGACCTGGACGTACGGAAAATCACAATAAGCATTTAGGTTGACATAAATTAGTTACAGCTAAAGAAATCATAGTCAGATGTGCAGAACATACAATCTTCATGAAGATATGCCAGTCCTTTTGCAGATCCTAAAGCAATTCTTAGCCTTGTGGACCAATCCATGGTAGGTCTCCCTTTTCCTGCAGTTCAAATAACCCATCAGACCGCTTCAAACAAACGCATTACGCTACAATATACAGTAGTAGTTGGTGCACACTTTCAGCATAAAAAAATGGACCAACTAGATTGAATTTTGAAAAGATTTTTCTGACAGAAAGTTAAAACCAAATTTACCATGTAAATGGAATTCCAATGTATTGTTGGGAACAAATTCATAAACAAGCAGCCTCTGGATCCCAGTGATGCAGTATCCAACCAAAGAAACAAGATGTTTGTGATGAACACGGCTAATGATCTCTACTTCAGCTTGAAATTCGCGTTCCCCTTGCCCACTTCCAGCCTTTAGCTGCTTAACTGCAACCTCCTTACCATTGGGAAGAATTCCTCTATGCACATATCCAAATCCACCTTGTCCAAGGAGGTTGGCATCGGAGAAACCATCGGTTGCGCGTGCCAACTCCTCATATGTAAAAGTGCTCTTTGAGAAGCCCAATGAGAGGCCTGGAGAAGGAGGTGGAAGTGGATTTTCACCACCAGAATAGTTTGATCCAGACCCACCACTGCTGCTCATGAAAGGAGGAGGAGGAGGCGGAGCAGCATAAGCAACAGGTTGAGGAGCAGGTGATGGCTTAGGAATCATTGAGATTACATGATCTGAAGGAGGGGGAGCATTATGTTGCCAGTGACGTGGAGGACCACCATATGGATCATCTGGTAATTATGAAGAAATCAGCATCACATAGAGTAATTATAATTATTATTAGAGAGTCCAATACCTTTGAACATCACCAAAAACACAATGTAAGGACCCATTTCTTCAAAAATTAGAAATATAACTTAACAACTGAGAATGAACCAAAACAAATTTAGCTTCATAAAGTTAAAAATCTGCATTAAGTTTTATAATTGTTCTTAAAAATTATAGGGGTCCAAAAAAAACAAAGTGCAAAAATTTCAAAAATCAAAGTTTGATAATTGAATCCATCAAAGGACAAAATATTATGCTTATGGTCTATGATCAGATCCATCAAGTTTAAAAATATCTTGAGATTGAATATCTAGAAGTAGTAAAAAAATATATGCAAGACTTTAACTAAAATTAGATCAAAGTTGCAAGTTGCAAACCCAAAGGAAAGAAGAAAAACCCTAGCAGCTAAAAGCTCTCACCTTTGGGTCCCCGCGGCGGCGGAGCATCGTATTCCTCATCACGTCTTCTCTTTTTCTTCCTACAGCAAATGCACAGAATGCTGAACACCAGAAGAACCGCAACGGCTCCGACGGCGATTCCGACGACGACGCCGGTCGAAATACTCGACGACGACGACGGAGAAGAATTTGACGACGGCGGAGGTGGAGCTTTATTCGAGCTTGACGGAGGAGTGGGCGGGCTCCGAGATGGTGGACTCGGAGTAGTGTGGCCACCGCTAGACGGAGAAGGCGGCGATGGCGGAGATAACGACGGCGTTGCAGGCGGCGGCGGCGAGGAGGAAGGAGTGGCTGGTGGAGGCGCGGAGGGAGTTGCCGGTGGAGGAGCGGAGGGAGTTGCCGGCGGAGGAGACGAAGGAGTGGCCGGAGGAGGCGGTGAAGAGGGGGTGGCCGGCGGCGGTGAGGATGGAGTGGCCGGAGGAGGCGCGGAAGGAGTGGTGGGGGCTGGTGCGGAAGGTGTGGCGGGGGTTGACGGCGGAGGAGAGGTGGTGTTGGTCGCCGGCGGCGAGGAGGGAGCGGGGGCGGTTGACATTACAAAAAATAATGTTGAGATAAAAAACAAAACAGAAACTTGAAAAAGAAGATTAAGATTAAAGCAAAACCAATTGAAGAAGAAGAAGAAAGAAGGTGTATGTATGTGTTTCTCTCTCTAAAAGTGTGTTGAGACTTTGAGAGAGAAGAGAGAGAGAGCAGTGAGAATGGAGAATGAAAGAAAGCGTTTTAAGAGAATCTATGGTTTCTCCTTTTCATCTTTCAAAGTTTTGAAGCTCCTTTCTGTGTACTATCCATTCCTCACTACATCTTTTTTTTCCTTTTCTTTTGAGACAACCAGCGAGACAATTGGTTAACGTGGGACCCACACGAGTGTCCCGCGGCCAGCGTCTTATATTACGACGTTATTAAATTTATTATTATTTCATTACTCGTTTTGTATTACTCGGATTTATACTTTCTCAAAATCAAAACAACGATATATGAGATTGTGTTATTTGATCACAATTATTTATTGATGATAAAATAAAAATAAAAAATATAAAATAATTGTGATTAAATAATATGATTATATGATTATTTTTCCAAATAAGAGAATCCAAATCAGTAACCACTCATTTAGAAGTCATATATTTTTTTCTCTTTTATCTCGTGGTAAAATAAGTGACTGTGATAAAAAAAAATTGACGATTTTTTATCCAAATCCTACTCTTTTTGTTTTTGTTTTGTTTTCTAATGTTCTTGCTGCTCTTTCCGGTTTGGTCATTGGTCCATTGCGACGGTTGCTTTCTCATGTTTGTGTATGTTCTTCCCTGTTTTTTTTTCGTCTATTGCTGTATTTAATAAAGTATTATTTTTATTTTTGATACAAAAGTATTGTTCTAAATTTTTTTTAGGCGCTCGAGGAACGATTTTCTCAACTCACATTGTGCTGATAAAAATATAAAACAAACATTTACCAAAAATATTTACATAAAACAGACCGGATTTATATGGAAACGCTAACATTGATTTCGGTAACAAAAGAAAGAAATGAGGAAACAGTGATAAGTTAGATTTGATTTTATCTTCTACGCGTTAATTGATGTGAGGGAAATAAAAAATTATTGGTTTAAATGATAAAAAATTTATTTTTCTTAATAAAAGATCTCAAATTTGAGCCTTAGAAATGGAGAAAAAAATCTTAAAAAAGCTATCTCATATAATAAGTTTATTAATATTTAAGTTAGACTAGTCTAATAATCGATAAATTAATGAATACATAAAAAAAAATCATAACATTTTATTTAACCCAAAAAAGAGAGAGGGTATTCTCAGTCAGAATAACACAAACCGGCCTGCATGTGAGAATTGAACTAAAATAACATAAACAAAAATCAGTTTTGATTGAGAAAAAGAGATTAAGGTATGGATGAGTTGAGTTGGCAATTCAACCGTTAAAGCACACGGTTAACTGCAAAAGCACGCATGAAGCTCAACGCTTGCAACATGAAAAAGTGGTGTCCCCTGTGTTGTGTTGTGTTGTGCAGCATGTGCAATATGAGATTGAACATGTTCTAAATCCTTGTTCTTTTCTCCCTTTCACAAATTATGAAAAACCAAGTAAAAATTGAAAAGAGAATAAATAAATCATTAAACTAAATATTAGCTGAGACCTGAGAGGATTAAAAACCGTAAAAAGTTCATTAATTAGCGCCGCGATTATAGGCCTTGAACTATGAAATTCAAGAAGATTAAGAAAAATAGTATATGATATTGCTATGTTGTCCAAATTTGGAAAATAAACATTTAATAGCCATGTCAATATGATTATTTATATTTGAGATTAAAGGTATCGTGTTAACAACTTAATTGGTTGGTGATGACGACATATACCAAGAGCAAAGAGATTCGATCTCTACAATTTTTTTTTCCTTTTTATTTTTCCCATATTTCATTAGGGCATTACTTACAAGCCCTAGCCCATTTGTTTCCCTTCCATAAAAAATAATTTTTATCTCTTTTTTATTTTAATTTTTCTTTTATAAAAGTTAAAGTTATTTATATTTTTATAAAAACATTTAGCTTTTGACTTCTGTTTTTTTTTTAGAAGTTAAAATTTTTAACTTTTAAAAAAAAGTAAATTTTTGACTTTTTTTGTGACTTTTTTTTTTTTTTAAAACAGATATCCAAACGAACTTAAATTGAAAAGTGTTTTTTTTTTTAAAAAAAGTAATTTTTGGAGAAAAAAAAAGTTCATCCAAACCGAGATTCCTTCACAAGAATGGGGAAAAAAGATAAAAAATATTAAGATGTGAAATGTAACAATATATTATTTGATATTCCCTTTCTAATATACTCTTAATAATTGAGCTACATCAATCAAAAAATAATTGCAAAATGTATTATTAATATCAAAGGAAATATGAATGTATTCACTTTAGCATTATACTTTCCATTTATTTTTATCAATATTTTGCAATTACTTGCCAATATTAATAAAGATCCAACAACAGCCTATCTACTTTCAATTCATCAAATAAAATTGGTGATACTTAAATGCAAATATTAAAGCATCATTATGCCTCTTCCTCTTTTAGCCTTTCACTCACACGAGTGTAAAACCATTAAAAGGCAAATAAAACTTTGAATATGAAAGCTAGTTGTCTAAACTCTAAAGTCCTTTTTTTTTTTTTTATAAGGTTATTCCCCCATGATTGGTTAATTTGAGTGAGTCAAAGATTAGGTAACCAATTTTCGTATATTTGTAGGGGAGAAAAAAAAATTATATAATACAGTAGCTGTTACTCAAAGTAAGAGTTAAAAGACCAGCTGGATTCCAATAATAGCTAACTACACAACAAGACATGGACGTCCTGGCCTCGCTCACAATATAAAAAAGAATAATATCCCCACTTGTAATCTTTTTAAAGTACCCCAACTTCAAATATTATCCATTGCTTGAGATATTTTGTAGTAAAGCATCTAAACAATCATGTTCATGTTAAATTTGATTATTCTTCTAATATATAATCATAATTTATTGTGTTCCCTTTTTCATGTTCTTGCTGTCATTGAACTATATATATATATATATATATATATATATATATATATATATATATAAAAGAGAATGTTATATTTACAAACTACACAAAGTATGACCGGTCATACTTCAATCTAGAGTGTATGACCGGTCATATTTAGTATAATTTGTAAAAAAAAAATTTTAAACGGATCTTTCTCCTTTCCATAAAAGGAAAAGTTATATTTACAAACTTTTTGTTTACAAATTACACTAAGTATGACCGGTCATACTTTAATCAAGAGTGTATGACCGACTATACTTAGTGTAATTTGTAAAAAAAAAATTATTAATGGATCCTTTCCCATATGTAATTATATGATTTTCTTGTTTTTTTTTTGTCAATAAAACCAATAAAAGATATGACATAAATGTAAGTAAACATAAAAATTATGACGAGTACATTACATTGTCAAAAATAATAATAAGTTTTTGACGGAATTCACTCACATTCACAATTGTTTATTGATTAAGATAAGCTAATAAGTTCAATTGCTTATTTAAAAGTCAACACGCTGAGTCATTGTTTCAAAAAATTTAGTAAAAATATTCTAACCGTCTACATTTAAAAAAAAAAAGAATAATAATCAATACTTATTGGTAATTTCAGAAATAAAAATAAAAATTGAGTACCATTTGAAAAAACACGATTTCATGGTCTCCCGTCAACTTTGGTCCATGTGACTTTAATTAGGCCCTTTTACACTTTTCCATTCTTAAGCAAACAAATTTTCATGTTCAGATATTCCTTTATACTATTAATGGAGCGTCGACAAAAAAGCCTGAGGTAATTGGTGTGAGATAGCCAGATAGCAGCGCACGCGCTACAATTTTCATGTTATTTAATTATAATTTTTTTTTTATCATCAATGAATAATTATAATTAAATAATATGACTACATAATATTTTTAAATTTAAAAGTATCCAAATCCATCTTTAGCCAGCAATTCTAAATTAAAAATAATTATAAGGGGGCATTATTTCTCTAATCAACAGAGAGAGAATTTCTATCTTATGCTGAGATAAGTAAAGTGCATCCCATCATTTAAAAAAAAAAAAGAATGACTCATCTTTTGATGTGAGGAGAGTATTCTTATATAGTTATATATATAAGGATTAATATTTTTTACATTGTACGAGATAATTTTATTTTTTACACATATAAAAATATATGGGATCTATATATGGTCATGTAAAGAGGAGAGGGAAAAAAATATATTGGTCCATGCACTTTTATGTGTGTGTATGAAATAAAATTATCTCCTACAATATAAAAAATACTATGATTTAAATTATATACTTTTTTTTATATAAGATCAAATTGAAAAATAAAAGGCACTATAAATAAAAAGAAATATAGTTTAATTTAATCTTATACGGGTGAGTACCAGAATGACGCATTTCCATATTCTACGGTGATTATGTAAAGTTCAAATAATCACAACTTTGCTTATTAGATATGTGTAATACATAGCAGCAATACGGCAAGTAATTACCAATAATGACATAAACATAAAATTAGTTAAGATAGTGTATAAAGTCATGGATTTCTTTGTATTTTCTAAAAGAACAAGCAAATCAATGGAGTGAATGATGGTTAAAAGGATACAAATTAAGTTGACGGAAATGTGTTGAATAAATGATAACGATTGCATGGAAAACAAGTTGCTGGGGATGGATACTTCTAGAATAAAAAGAATACCCAGTAAAATATTGGGTTTTATTTTTTTTTATATCACATAAAATAAATCTTCTCCCCTACACTCACAACAAATGTTGGTATCCAATTTATTTATTTTTTAAATAAAGAGAAAAAAATAAAACACGAAAATCAAGTTGGAATAAAAAATAAAATTTATCTTATGTGATATAAGAAAAATGAAATCCTAAAATATTATCCTACAAAGAGAATAGAAAAATGAGAAATACCCTCTGTCAATTAGTTGGTGGAGACCGGCAGAGGCATATTCAAATCAAACGTGTGCGGTAGCTGCAGGCTTATAAGGAATTAGGAATATGTTTGACTTAGAAATTTTCTCTTTTGATCTGCTTATGAGACAGCATGACAAATGGAGCTAAGTGATCCATTTTCTAGAAATAGACAGTGTTATTAAGGAGGTTTCAACTTAGGGTGTGAGACACGG